CCAAGGTCCCTTGGTCCGGTAGAGAGGTTCTGCTCATGAAGAATCCCCCCGGACTCGGCACGCCTGAATGTTGTTGCGAACAACTGAACGTTACAAGTAGCTTTTTTTACTAGCGTGGCACCTGTTACTACTAGTAAGGCACCTGTTACTACTAGCGTGGCACTTGTTTCTAATAGCTTCTTGTTACTAGTAACAGGTGCCTCAAACTGAACGAACTCCCGACCGGCCCCACCACCCTTCAACACCCCGTGGGAGGCACGTCGTTCACGGGCGAAAAGCGTCCCCGTCCGGCGACGCGTCCCCCTCCGCCATCCGTCCACCCTCCATCCACCCAGGTGAACTCTCTCACTCGCCTGGTAGGTGCGAATCACGATGGGATGAGGCACCGGAAGGATCCCCACCTCGGTACTGTCGCTCGACCCTCCGTTGGTCGGAAGCACGTCCGACGCCTCCGGGAATCCCTGGGCTCCAAAGCTGTGGACCGTGAAGCCTCCGGAGATAGACTTGGATTCCATCACAACATCATAGATGGGGAGACCTCCTAGATAGGCTAAGATAGGCTATCTAATAGCCTACAAGCGTGATTTCTTAGACCCTTTCGATATGGGGGTGTATTGAAAAAAGGAGACCTCCAGAAACGAAACCGTGGTTCAGAAGAGAAATCTGTCGAGCCAGCCAGGGCCAAGGGGTCTCCCGGATTTACCCATTAAAAAACATGTATATATATGCATTATATCAATATATACGTACATAGATACATATATATATATATATAACTCACCGACTCGTCATAGTGCGAACGGCCGCTTGGGTCTGAAGACCTCTGGATTCATCTCCCTGCTTGGCTCCATTCTTTCACAGCGTGGCTCCAACAAATAATGTATATAGCTGCTAGACAAATCTAGCTCTTCTCTGTATACAATCACTTATGCATCTCAATGTTTGCCCTTAGTTCTTGTATAGCCGCCCTCGTTTCAGAAACGGGTTTAACATGATTGAACAGGATCTGGCACGACGGCGAGGGAAGCGGTGCAGCTAAGCTTGCGACGAGTGTGGTGGACTTCAAGAACCTCTCAGACGGCAACGCAGCCGCAACGGTGCAGAAGTGAGCAAAAAGTAGCCATATATGGCTGCAATCCAGAGTGTTCACCACCCACAAAAACACACACTTCCCCTTGGCTTGCTTGCTTGTCCCTGAAACCCTGGAATTGTGATGACGGGAGATCGTTTTCAACGAACCACCTTTCCACCAGGCCGATTCTGACCCACGCCTATCCAGGCCTCATCGTTTTGACTACCCCAGTTCCTGGGTATGCTGCAAAGCCCTGACTGATAGAGGACACATGAACACATGATGCAGTATGATTCCCTGGTGCCGCGCTTATCTTCCAACTCTGTGCTTATCTGCAGCTTTGCCCTCCCTCAAACATGCGAGTGGAACAGGACAACGTCGACTGACATGTGCTCCGGAACGGGACCTTCCACCGGATTTTGACCGGATCCGCCGGAACGCGGACCGCGTTCCGCGACCGCGGCTGTTCCGGAAGAAGTTCCGGTGAGCTCGAAGCGCAGTTCAGGTGGAAGGGTTGATCCAGACTTATGAGGGATTTTGTGAGTTCAGATAGCTGATAGCTGTGAGGAACTCAACCTCACCAAAAGCATGGGGAGGTTGGGTGACATCCGTTATGGAGGAATCTGTTCATGTTCAGCGGTCAACCAGGGTGCAATCTGTTCATTTTCAGAGGTCAACCAGGGTGCCCGGGTTTTGACCCACTGTCAGTTAAGGGTTTAGGATTCTAATGAACTTCCGGACATCAAAGGCCCTGGTGGAGATAAAGAAACAGATCACCAAACAGTCCGCTCACCTCAAGACTTCCGCTTGATCCGTCACATCCTGCTCGACACACATCACCTGACCAGCGATTCTGGTGATCAGATGGTGCTCTCGAGATACATAAAATAAGGACAAACAATGTGGGGATGATGGGCGCCACCTCAAGAGCAACTTTACTTGGCTTCCCACCAATTCAGGCCAAAGAACCGCATCACCTGGACCCCCAAGGCTGTACATGGTTACATTGTTGCTTTAAAAACACAACGATTTCCAGCTTTATGATGCTTTCTGTCAAGCATCTCAAGTCTAGTACTGGAGGATTCTTCTCGCTCTACTCGTTTGCGGGTTTCTTTCAACACCTTTCTCCTCCAGCGCTGTTCAAGAGCCGTAACAAATCCCACAGCAGTCCACTCAGGCAAGGGCCGTACACTTTGATTTCTACACCCTTAAACATACAGTCATTGGAAACGAGTCATGAATAACTGAATAATGATGAAGACATCTGTTAAAAGGACATTTGAAGAAACACGAAGGACACATGTCAAGATCTGTCAAGTGCAGTTGGTCTCCGGGCCTTGTCTCCCAAGAAAAGCCGTTGAAGATGAGACTCTTGCACCGGCCATTGGGGGGGTCGTTCGTCACCAATACCGGGATGCGTCTGGATTTCAGGGGACACCCCTACCTCATAAGATCATGATCATGTAGACTGTTGATGAATAAAGCATCATAAAACCACACGAGAGTTTTTCCTAATGGGGTGTTTGTTTTTTTCATCAAGAGACTCTTGATGGGGCTGTCAAGGCTACGTACAAAAAACATTAGAACCCTTGAAGCAGCAACATTCAAGGTGGCTATGCAGTGTAAACAAACCATGTTGGTGAAAGACAGGGAGTGAGTGAGATGAGAGGGCCTTCAAAGAGAGATGATGGGAGTAAGCGAGATGAGATGAGATGAGATGACAGGGAGTACAATCTTCAAACTTCAAATCACAATGGACGACCACATCTTGTTGAAGTGGCCCGATTTTAGTTTGAGATTGCTCTTTTGCTGGGAAGTTTAGCAGCAACAGCAGTTTAACATGTTCAACACTGCAACACAGGGAGGGGGGCAGGATCTAATCAAGAGTCTACAGTCTACATGCCCCAAAAAGAGAAGAAAACGAGACGTCGATACCTTCACATCTCCACCCCCCAGGCACCTTCTTCACCGGACGACCAGTCGTTCGTCGTCCGGGTCGGTGCCCCCGGCGCGGGTCGGCCTCCAATTGAGGATTGAGATATTCGATCAAACATTGAAGCCTCGAGGTGCCGAAAGGTGAAGCGTCCTCGTCGCCTCGCGTTTCTTCGTCCGTTTTCTTCGTGTGAACACCGTTTCGTCTAATGTGAGAATGCGGGTGGTGCGGCCGCCTCTTCACGGTTTCGGGTCTCGGCGAGGGTTCCTTCTTGTGGAAGAAGACATCACGACTTCATCACGACTTCATCCCGTGGTGTCTTCCACCGGGTTCCGAAAGAAGAAGATCAGGCGACTTCGTTGATACGAGCGTCCTTTCGGACCAACCGGGGCGTTTGTATTGGGGCGTGTGAGAGTGCTACAGGTACGACGCCGGTACTGATGCAAGACAAGACGACATGGTACTACTTCATCTGGGATCCCCGCTTTGCAAGATGCATTCATGGGCAGCATGAAAATCATGTCCTATCATGCCCTATCTGTATATAGGATTTCTTTCAACTATAGGGCTTGGCTTCCATTGGCTTGCATTTATTTCGACCGGCCGCCTCATGCTCTGAGGTTGACGCGTGTGCAGTGGGAGCTTCTTCTTGACGCTTTGCCTGGGTCGAATCCAAATCTGAACCAGTTCTTTCACTCCTCAGGGTGTAGCCAAGGAAGAAAAGACCTCAAGTACAACCAAACAAGAACCGCAATTCTTCCGCTTGTTTTGATCCCTCAGTGCTTTCCCTGATTCCTTCATATTCCTTCCTGGAAAATTGATGGACGAAACGGTCTCCATCAGGATGTCAAGAATAGGCTACGGATCATGACACCCTGGCAACCTTGGCGGACTACTGGACCGCGGGACTACGAAACAAACCAAACAACATCAAACAGCGAGACAAGCTGGGATCCTTGACTGGGCAAAAAGGGTGAAGAAATCAAGAAATGGTGAGTGGACCCAAACATCTACATACATTTACTATTTTACGTGGCCCAGCCCCTACGTACACCAAAGCAGCCCCCTCTAGACTTTGCGACCGTATGACCATGAGGAACGGATTGAGGAGAGGATTGCAGTATATAATCCCAGGGTTTTCGGTGTGGACATGGGAAATGGACACATTTCCGGAAGACAGGACCAACCCGAACACATCTGAGAAAACAGATATTCTGTCTTGCCAACCTCTAAGGACCAACCTCCCCTTGGAAGAGTTTTAACAAAGACGACTTGGGTGAGAGGGACATCAGCATTCCACCTCCCTGAAACGGGAAAAAGGGCATACAATGGCTCCTGGTCCTTCAACTCATATCCTGGAGGTTTGTGGAGCGACACACCAGTCACCAGTTGGCAACATCAAGTCAAGAAGTCGACACCTGATTAATTTTCTCATGGCATCCCATCACCTTCAACATGTGTCAATCGCCAGCGCAAGACCACGCGCTGGCGCGCAAGTCTTCTTTTGAACAACTGCCACAGCAAAGACTGTACAAGCTGCTGCTTGGATTTGCCGAGAATTCTTGCCTATTTTCCTCGCAAGGTTGCCAAACCTTGGCTTTTGCACACACACAAATGGTGAAGTTGAGGGTTCGATCTATCTTGGCCGGACTCAGCTTGGCAGCAAATCCAATCGCTATACTTTTCTTCAAGGCATGATTTTAGCTGGAACTACCTAATCAGCCTGCGGTCAGTCTACGACCTGTCTACTATACCGGGAATTCGGGTCCAGTGCGAACGTCGCGACCACTCATGTGCCTGAGATGCGTCACCCCATGATCCGTTTCTTCAAACCACCACACCATCCGCCTGTTCGCGACCCCAGAAAAAACAAACAAACACCAACGACCTCGCTGACCAGTTCGCCCCCCAAAAAAACGAATGTCCGATCTGTTTGACAAAGAAGCATGCATCTTTAAGAGAACTTTGAAGGGGAAACATAACGAGCTCGATTGTATCGATTCCTTGGGCTCCACTGGACATTCTTGTGGAAATGATCGGCTTGGATCAACTTGGATCAACGTGCCAAGGCGGTTCGAATTCTCCACCCAGCGGACCCTCCCGGATTGGTGCTTTCTAGCCCAATTCGATCTGCCCATTTTGTTCACCTGTCCAACAACTTCCACCAACCTCCTCTTGGAGAGTCCAACATGGTGTCATTGTAAAATTCTGATTCTACCTTGCTGGCCATCGCGTGCGAAATCGCATACCTTTTTTCAACATCACTGCCCATCACATTGTTCAACACTTGGCCATTACCTTTGCCTTCTGCAAGCTTTGTGCTGTCGGCACGTCGCTCTCGCCGCTGGCAGCAGCAAAGGCTCGACGCACCGCCGCGCTGGCACTGCTGAAGGTGCCCACTGTGAAGTAGACCAAAGAAAAGCGTTCCCCTCTAAAGGGTCTCACCTGGCCATTTTGGAGGGTGGGCTACAGCAAAGGATGGGTAGTAGGATGGGTGTTGCTTTCCTTGCTTCGTCTATTTGGGGATCATTGTAGACAGTATTGTGGACATCACTAGCAGAGGAGAAGGAGAAAAAGAAAGATGAAAGGGAAAGAAGAAGGAGAGGAAAGGTAAAGGAAAAACGTTATGAAAGGGAGAGAAGAGGGATGGGAAAGGGAAAGGAAAGAAGATGAAAGGAAAAGAAAAAAGGATACAGAAAAGATCAGAGGGAAAGGACAAAAACGAGAGAGAAAAACACAATGAAGGGAAAGGGACCCACTTCTCTGGGACTTCATGAGCTTAAATGAGCTTTCAAACATTCAAGTAAGAGTTTCTTTTCCCCCTCTATACCCCTCTGGTCATTGAGATAGGAATATTGAAAATGGGTCTGACGATATTTTCAATTGTTCTACAAAGAGACGCCATTATCTGTCAACCTCTAGAAGGGGACTGGGAGAAATCGTGTTGTGTTGACGTCGATTCAAACTTAGTTTTCACAAAACCCGCTGCCTGGTGCTCACCGGGACTCGCTGGTCCCAGAACTAGAGCCAGCCGCGGCTGGTGCGGCTGTTGACGCTGCGGCTGGTGCCGTGGCAGCTGGTGCCGTCGCGGGGGCCGACATACAAACAGTGTGTGCACGTGCGCGGTCTCCTGACGGCGGCGGCGGAGGTCCTGGCAGTCAGGCGGCGGTGGATTTCTTGATATAGTACAAACAATGGCAACCCATAGCCTTTGCCTCTGTTGACGGCTAGTTCCTTTGATGGCCGACTCCCTTCCATTGGAATCGGGTCCCAAAACCTGTTGGAGGATCAGGCTGGGCGTGTAAGGACACTGGTGGATTATGGCCTACATCAAAAGTTCTCATCAAACAACTCACTGGTTGCTACATGTCACATGTTGTTCTAGAGGCAATTCAAATGTCATGATCAAAAGATACAAATCATCAAATGTACGTACAACCAAGGCACTTTTTCTCCATGCCAACTGCCAACGGTAAAACACATGCCAACGACACCAACGACACCGACCCTTCCGGCCGCCGACGCCTCGTCCGTCTCTCGCCGCATGCGACGGAAGAGATGAGCCGTCGAAGCCGACGACGGTGCTCCGGCGGATGCGCTCCGCTTGGATCGACGAGGCGTACAGGGTCTTCGAAGACTTCGTCTGGCGAGGTCAACGGCGTTCAATTCGCTGGCCGGAGTTGGTTTCAAGGAACTATAGGGTTTGAGCTGAAAGTGTCTCAGCGCGGTGTGTTTTGAAGGGTTCAATGTGTGTTTTCTTTTTTGTTGGAGGTATGGGGCTTATATAATTAGGTTTTTCTTTGTGATGTCTTGTGATGTCTTGGGGCAAATGGGAGGTGATGGGAAGGGGGCGATTTGAAGAATAACCACTGGTGACAAATATTGATGATCGTTCATGGGGAAAGACCAGTGTTCTTCTTCGTCGAACGCTCCATCCCTTCAGATTTGTCCCGTGCGAACGTCAGTGCTTCGCTCGTGGCGCCAGGTGATGGGGTCTCTAACTCTCTTCGAAAAGAACGCGCTCCGGAACGGACATCTAGGATTCGGCCAAATTCGATGCCTAGCGTGCATGTGTTTTTCGTCGAAATTCACCCGGCCGAACCGCAGCTTTGAAGAAGAGCAGGAATTCCTGGACTGCGAAGCGTCACCATGGAAACCCTGGAACGAAGTGTGTGCTGGAAAACAGTAGTACATCACGGTAGTACATCAGTTTAGTGCCATCTTGCATCTATATAACCCACTTGGAAACGCAGCATCCAAAAGACTTTACACAAGACCAAACGACGTCATATCGTCCAAACGACGTTTTCCCCTGCCGGTTTCAAAGATCGACCACGGGAGCCGCTGCTCGACCACGGCTCGCTGCTCGTATGCTTCATTGAGATCATGACCCAAGGACGACCGAAAACATCGGTACTCACTCTATTTGACTCTATGAAATTGGGGGAACCGCAACAGACCCAACAAGCAAGAACAAGACTCTTTTTCCGGTGGACACAAAGCCCCCATCGAGTCTCTGGCTCCTAAGTGCTTGCCTTGAGTCGAGCGTGGGCGTCCAGTGCATTTTCACACCGGCCCTACTCTAACGGCCAAGCGAGACCAAGAGAACGTCATGCGTGGTGCACTGGGTTCTATGGCCTGTCTCGGAGAGTGACCAGTAACCGGTATTGCAAACACATCTAAGGAAATCTGAGTTCATCTTTTTCGTAAGGGGGTCCGCGATCATGTTATCACCAGCAACCCAGCGTAAAGAACCCCCTGATCTATAGAGATCGTCCTTTAGTATGGCTATGTCTATAGCCGTTCTCTTGTCCTCTACTTGAGAGTAGGTGCACACCAGCTTGTTGATGCAGTCGTATAGCGACCGAGAGTCAACTACTGAGACATAGGGGATGGCTGCCAGATGCCGCTCCCAATCCTTGGATTCCATGGTCGTGCCCATCAGTTCGAGCAGGAGGTAGCGGTGCCAGTGGATATGGCCAATGCCATGGACTAGCGATTGGCATTCGGCGCTCAGGGTGTTGACTGTCTTTCGTTTGAGTTTTGTTGACTTCCATGAAGTCACGGAAACCATGTGAGGTCGATCTTCGGTTTCCATTCTCTTGTCATAAAAGATCATCACATAGCCTCCTTGGCTGCTACAGTTGAGGAGCTTGAGGAAGGTGTCGTTGATCTTTCCATGTTCCAACTCATGTCCTGGAAGCTGTTTGGTGAAGATGGTTTTTCCAGTCCAAGGGGAGTCCGACCAAGTTCGGACACTATTTCCTTTTGTCCATTCATCTTCTAGAACTTCTTCATTCGCTGTCATCGTTCTGCGACCTGGTTGTAGGTCATGAAGATCTGGTCCTGGATCGGCTCCGGGGTGGAATAGGACCCTCCTGGGAGTGACATGATGTCGAATCCAGTGTGATGGTTTCTCTTCCCAGTAGTCTTGTGAACTAGCTTCCAGTTGGTCTTGGCTTCTAGCGTTGGACCATGAAGCGTCGGTCGCAACTCCTATTCGCAGGTTCTCTGGCTGAATCGGCATAATCTTGATGCCGCTCGAGGGATGTTTTCTAGCCTCCTGAGTGATGGAGTTGGCCTCGATGATGTCTTTGATACGAGGCTTTGGAAAGACCTGTTGGAGCAGAGCCACTCTTCCGGCCAGGTCTGGCCTGCTTTCTTTGGCGAGCCAGGCTAGGGCTCCAACACTGGCGCGGAGCTGCGTGATTTCCTTGTCGTCACAGAAGGTGTATCTCTTTTTCTTTCGTTGTTTTTCCAGGTTGATCTCGAAGAGCTTCTCCTGGATGTAGTTCTCCTGGTTCACGGTGATGCTCGAGTCCTCTTGTTGGACGAACATTTTTCCAGTAAATTTTCCAGACCCATATTGGAATTTTCCAAGCTTGTACTTTGCCTTGATCTGGTCCATAGCCTTTTGGTGTTCTTCGTCGCCTCCATGTAGAAGGTCATCCGTAGCGACCGCAATGATGCCGCTGAGGACCGGCTTACCAGTAAGGGGACTGGCCCGATGTTTGTAGTAGATGCACGGGTCTGCCAGTGACTGCTGGTATTGTAGTTGGCTGGTCAGGAACTTCTTGAGGTGATTGTACCATGCCAATGGGCCATCAGTGAGGCCGTAGCAAACCTTTTCAAGTTTCAGGAGTTGGCACGGTGCAACTCCAGGGATGCCTTCGCGAGGTGGAGTTGCATAAAGTAGTCGTTCAATCGCATCTCCACTATGGAAAGCTTGGGTGAAGTCCGAGAAGCCGAGTTTCCAGCGATGACTGGCCACCAGTTGGGCGACCATGAGAGTTCCTTCTCTGGTAACCTGAGGTGTCGTTGCCTCGATGTCCTCGGAGCCTTCTTCGCTAAACCCTTTCATCACATGTCGGGCTTTGGCCTTGCAAGGTTCTTCGGAATCCCAGTCGAGGAGGATTCCTTCCTGTTTGGCTGGTTCTACTTCGTGAGGTTCCAATGGTTTTGGAGTCAGTACCAATCGACTTTCCATGATTCGGTGTGGCATGGTTTGTCGAACCTTTGCTGACTCTTCTGGGGAGACAATGGAGTAGGCGCCAATGTTGATGTTGTTGTTGAATTCTTTGCCGATTGCCGCCTTGAAACATTTTTGGTTCTTGAAGCTCAGTTCCTGAAAGCGAACTTCCTTTCTCTGTCTTGTTTTCATCAGGTTGTCAACCTTGTTCAGGTAGATCTCCAGGTATTCATGTCTCAATCTTTTTAATGGCGGTTGTTCTTGGGCTTCTCCTTCATCATATTCTCTTTTGTTGTTCTCGTCCACGTCGGGGTGTTCTTCTGGTCGTTCTTCTGGTACCTCTTCAGCGGGTCGTTCGTCATGATCTGGTTCTTGTAGATCTTCTGCTTCTGGTGGTTGATGAAGGTTCTCTTGTGGTGCCTTTGTTCGGTATCTTTTTGCTGGCGGTGGGTATCCCAGAGGTTCTTGAAGCCCGTCTAAGATTGGAGCTATCGGAGGTGCACTCGGTTCATCTTCAGGAGGTTCGGATGGCTCATAGTCCATGTCATCTAGATCCCCATCTGCTGGGTCAGGAGGTAGAGGCTGATCGGATAGATCTAGGAAGCCTCTAACCGGTTCAGTGTTGAGATCCTTTTTGACATTGACAATGTCGTCAAGCCATCCCGAAAGAGCCATGTTCTCTTCAGATGATGCTCTCCGAAGGCGCTCCGGAACGCTAGCCAAATAGCGCTGGGCTGGTCGATCATGATGATGCGAGCTGGTCCCTGCCAGTAGCCTGGTTTGAACTTGAGCTTTTTATCTGCTCCCATTCGATAGAAGTAGACAATCTCACCGATGTCGTAGTCCAGGATCGGTCTTGGTCCTGATGAGATAGCTCTCCGCAAGGCGTTGTCTGCATCGGCTTCGATGAAAGCTTGAGCTGCAGCCTTCCGAAAGCTTCATGGATCTTTCAATGCTGAGGTCGCCGATCTTCGGCACTGGAGCGTCTTCTCGATGTCGATGTCCGTCATCTCCATTTAAGAGTCCTCCTGGTAGGAAGGGGTTGAATCCCAAGACACGTTGACATGGGCTGTATCCTCCCACGTTCATCATTCGGTTTTTGGTCATGGTTGTGAGATCTACCATTTCTTCCCATTCCTGCATGTTGCTGCAGCTGTAGGTGTCCATGGTCTTCTGGAGGATATATTTGAAAGTCTTTCCATGCCTTTCGGTGATGCCTCT